AGAACTAATCAGATAATTACTAAGCAAGGAGTTCAACAGAAGGCCACCATACAAAATAAACAGCATTTATGAGTAATAACATATTAGAAAAATCTATTTTTAAATTTCTGTAATGAAAATAACTGCCAGATGCCCAGGAATTAGCCTTCCAAGAATGTTTTAAAACTACAAAGCACACTATAACCAGCACTGGAAGACATAAAACAGCCATGGATAAATTCAGATATGCTGTTTTCCTGAAAAGAATCAATACTGTAAATAGGATTCATTCCAACAGTCATCTATATTATAAGTTCAGTCTCAGATCCAGACAAAATGATTCTAAAATTAAATGGAGAAAAGGTATGAAAATAGAAGGAAGAATCATGATGGGTGATAAAGAGGAAAATTTCCACAAATAAACATTAAAACATGCTGTAAAGCTGTAGTACATAAAACATGACTGGTAAGTAGATAAATAGAGCATTTGAATGGTATAAGAATTTCAGGGAATTTTGAACATAAAGATTGTATTTTGTATTTCAGAATTAGTGTAAGGGTAAAGTAATGACTTAGGGAAATGACTCTTCATTCAAAAAGTAGTATTGTGGTTTCATAATACTTCACACACACCACAAATAGAAAGACTAAAACCAAAGAATAAAAGAATTAAAATATTTTAAAAATTACATAATCTTGTTCTAGGAAAAGAAAATCCATAATTAAAACATAAAACCTATAATCCATAAGGATATAAATAGAAGCCATGATTATGTAAAAACATCTAAGCCATGTGAGAAAGTGAAAGATTAGTGCCCACCTGTGAGAATATGTACACCTGTGTACAATCTATTTATTATCCAGAATAGATCACGGATTCCTACAGATCAGTAGAAGACAAAGCACCCAATAGAAATAGGGACAGATAATAAAAACAATTCACTAAAGAAAGACAGGTAACTAATAAATGTGGAAAGCATTCTTAACCTTACTAGGAATCCGAATATTCAAAGTAAAAAATTAAATGTAATTTCTTGACTATTTGATATCAGGCTGAAAAACTCTAAGCCCATTACAGATTTTTGAAATCCGAAATGGACAGGATAAAGGGGAACACTCTGACTTGCTTCTCAGGGGAGTGGAAACTGATGCAGCGTTTTGAAGCGCTACCTGCAGTTTTCATACTTTAAAATACCCACAGAGTGGTTCTTTGAAAAGATCAACTACAAGCACTTGAAGATAATTGCATGAAATATTTTATACCAGGAAATGCAATCATTCAGGTGACTCGGTCCTGTCGTGTGGGGATGTCACAGTCTCACAGATGGGCAGAGAAGTTGAACTAGATTGCATGCATCCCCGGAACTCCCTGGATTCCTCAGGGAAGTCTGGGTGTTCCTCTGTGATATGCATCATGGCCGAGCTTCCGACAGAGGGGCCTTCCTGAACCACCTAAGCTGGCTGTGATAGAGAGCTATCCAAGAGAGAAGCCACGTCCCACCACAGTGTTACATCTGGGGGTCCAAGGTTGAGTATTGCCTGCCTTACTCTTTCCTGCGACTCACTCAGTGTCGTTTCCTCCCGAGATAGTTTAGTTAAGGTTTATTGTGCCGACCTGGCCAGTAAACATGTGGGGTTAATTGAAGAGCGGAGAGATAAATGGCTTGGTGAGCCTCGCCTTTCTAGTTCTCGGGTCTCTTGCTCGCTGATGGTCGGACCAGGGTGCAGTTGCCTTAGCCAGTTCCCTGCTTCAGCTGGCAAGGCTCACTTCCTGCAAGACATCCCTGAGGAGAAGCCACGGGGACATACCCTGATGCAGCCCTGGGTGCTGGAGCAGCTGTGTGGAGACCCTTGCCAGCGCTGAGATGCTTGCATGTTCACTGATTCGGCTTTCCTCCTGCAATGGGCGTCATTGTGTGTGTTTTGTGAGTTTGAGGAGGACTTTGTAGATTGGTGTCGGACATATGGGCTAATGTTGGACTTATGGGCTTGGGCAGCACTGGGTTGGGATGCTTTCTGAATGTACACTTACCCTTTATATAAAACCCTCTCTTATATACATATGAGTTTCTGTGGATTTGTTTCCTAGTCTACCCAGACTAACACCCCTCGGCTCCCTGAGGAACCACCAGGAGGAAGTGAGCATCCACGATGGTCCAGATTGGCCTCCCATCATCAACAGAAGAGGACACTGGCCATCTGAATGCTCTGTATTACTAAAGACACTGCATTTTCTTTGCAAGTACACACTCTTCGAGCCCAGCTGGTTTCACTGATAAATTCGTTCAGATACTTAAGGTGAAAAATCAACAACAATCTTTTACAAGCTTTTTCTTAAAAAGGAGGAAAAGCATTTCCCAAATCATGGTATGAAGAACACAACCCTGGTGGTGTGGCTGCTAACAGCAAGGTCAACAGTTCAAAACCACCAGCTGCTTCTCTGGAGAAAGATAAGGCCTCCTGTCCCCACAGTCACAGTTCTGGAAACCCAGAGGGCCCGTTCTACCCAGCCCGATACAGTCATGAAGAGCCAGACCAGACTCCACGGCACTGAGAGAACAGCCCTGAAGGTACGACCTGCGAGAAAAGAAGGTTACCGACTGTGTTTCATGAACATAAATGCAGTGATCTTCAACAGCACAGTCATTTAAATCCAATAGCAGCTGGAAAGGATTTAACATCATTTTGAAATGCAGGTTATCCTAGGAATGGAAGGGTGAGTAATCAAACCAGAAGGGAAAACTCTGGAAATGAGTCCTGCAGGAGCAACCAGCACAGTCGCTCTCCAGGTGTTTCAGCATAAGGGGGCGGGGGTGGGGGGAGTGGGGGGGTGGCGCGGAGCTGGAGCAGGAAAGGGCAGGAGAAGATGTTTCGCTAGAGGGGAGTTGCCATAGAGCAGATGAAAATAGTACGCGTTACTATATGAATGAACGAAAACATTTCACATCGATCAAACATTCCCTCCTAAGAAGCAAGTCCACAAGGCAGACTCAATCGAAAAAGGAGACGGCGAGGCAAGAGGAGCAAGTGAAATCAAACTGGCAGGTGAGACAGACACGCGACTCAAGCTACCTGAGAAACACAACCCCGCAGCCGAAAGCAGGAATGCGTAGCTACCTGAAAGAGCAAGAGCACAACTGAAAACGTGAGCTAAACCAAGTGGAAATGCGTGGCTAGATCATGATGGCTTCACAGGTGTCTGCACATGCATGTGCGAGACACTGAAAGGTACTAGGAAAAACATGAAAAAGACGGGTAATAAGGAGACAGCCCTAACACACGTTAACATGTATTCTAAATCCCCACTAGTTAAAACATAGCATAAAGCTTCACTGGTAAAAGGACAAATATGGAATGAAATAGCACGTCCAGGACCTAATCTAAATGTATTTCTGTGGGGAAATTATGGGTTATTTAATAAGTGGTGTTGGGACATTTATGATTTTATGTAATAACTTTCTGAACAACTACAAATGGATAAAAATTTAGAAGTGAGAAATAAAGACAAATGTATTAGAAGAAAACATCATGATGTAGAACATTCTTTTACATGTAGAGAATTTTTTAAAGGATCATATTACATTGAAAAGGTAGAATAAATAATAATAATATATAAAAATAAGGATTCCTGGGGGAGGAAGGAGGTAAACGAGAGCTGATATCAAAGAATTCAAAAAGAAAGACAATGGTATGAAAATGATGCTGGCAGCAATTGTACAATTATGCTTCTTGACCTGATTGAATTATGGATTGTTATAATATCTGTAAGAGCGCCCAATAAAATGTAAAACGGAAAAAGGAAAAGGTAGAAAGGGAATGATAGATTAATTTGAGTATAAACACAATGTTGTTTTGGCTTTGCATAAATTCTATTACTGACAAAGGAAAAATAAGTTGTGAAAAAAATGATATAAATGCTATGAATATTTCCTAAATGTAGAAAGAACTTCTATAAACCACTAAAAGAAATGGACAAATATAAAGTTGATGTTCAACCTCACTTATAATAAAAGAAATAAAACTTTAAAATACACTGGAAAACAAACTACATTACAATAGCACATTAGTGATTTTCTAAGAGTGTAAAGAAACAGGTACATACTTTGTGAAGGTATAGCTTGGTACTATTTTGAAGAGAGGGATAGAATTAAGCAACAGCTATCAAAATTACAGTGATGCGCACACCTTTGATTCAGAACTTCCACTTCTAGGGGTATATCTTAGAAATGCAAAATTGATATGAGCACTCTCATCCATTATTTATAACAACGTTGCTTGAGCTAGCAAAAGATGGAAAGCAGCCCAAGTCTATCCAGACTAGATTACTCATCCAACCACGCACCCAGGCCCAGAGCTCCGTCTGCCCAGCGTAAAGAGCAACTTTCTGTGCTGCACACAGACTAGGTGTGGGCTAGTCCTTTTTGATTTCTCAAACGCGAGAGCCCAGAAACACCTGTGAACCAGTCTGAGGCGTTTCACTTTGTTTTTTCTTTTCCCCACTCTCTGATAGCTTTCTTGCCCGTGCATAATTTCATTGCATTTTTACTCAACTTATTTTTATCGAGTCCTTCCCAAGGATTTCTGAGTTTTTATAAAATAGAAATGAATATCTACATTCATATTTGGTGAGTGGTGTTATAACGACATAAATCATGTAACTGTTTAATACACGAGTGTTTCAGACTGGGGGCATCAGCTCGCTTGGTTGGAGTAGTTACGTGATGGCATGAACAACGGGAGCCTCCCTGATGCAGGCTCTCCTTGTGCCTCAGGTAGCGGCTGTTCGGTCTGAAAGAGGAACTGGAGCGCTCTGGGTAACCCTCCAAGTCGCTCCAATGGAGGTTACAAGAGAGGGCATCTACTGCACGCTGGCAGAGCATAGGGCAACCCCGTATACTACTGCACGGGGCGTCAACGTCAATACAGAGTGCTACTCTAGTTCGCTTCTGCACGCTTGTGCAGCGACTGCCTTGCCCTTGCTCTGGCACCATAGGCACCACACTTTCTCCATTATGCTGCAGGCACTGGCGAAAGAACTACAGAACGATGTGCTGGTGTTACGGCGACAAATCCGAGAGCTTAAGAAAAGGCAGAAATCCAGGGCTGCGTCCAAAACCTCAACTCACAGAGCACAAACCCTGGCGGCTTCCATCCTAAACATCTCACGGTCTGACCTAGAGGAAATACTGGACACAGACGATGACATGGTAAGATCAACCAGATGTCGGTCAATAAAGGGCTGTTGACATATTGAATTAAGGTACTCACTTTTCCTATGTAATCCTAAGAATTGCATCCTTCAGAAACAGTTCATGAAGGTAAGACTCTTAATGGGTCAATGAGAAGTACTAGCCACCCTGTCAAGATTGCCATAGAGAAGTAGACCAGTCCTCATCACCTTTAAAACTACGTCTTGTTCAAGCCCTTTAACCTTTGTCTCCCCCCTTTTTGTTAATTTAGTTAATCATATTCTATATCTTGTAAACTATCACTTTAAATTAAGCTGGTTGGAATGGATCTTATTAAGCTGAGTCATCATTAGAGACGTTTTTCCTTCTGTGCCAGATTTTAAATTGTAGTGAATCTGTTGACTTCTTTGACTAAGGTTGTTGATCGCTTTAAAGAGAAAAGGATATTTATTGCTATCGTGTGGCTTTAAATACATGTCTTCAGCAGTTATTTCAGCACCTCGTGGGTAGGACACCGATGTGAAAAAGTTACTATTTCCTGAGCATCCCCTTCTGGTGTACACACAATATACAAATGTTAGATTTTGATTGTTTGGAAAGATTAAAGGGTTTAAAGGTTTAAAAAAATGAAGATAGATTTGTTCTCAATAAGCTACTTGCAGAATGACTACATTCGTTCTTGTTGTTGGGTGCCATGGGGTGGGTTCCCGCCCATCGTGACCCTGTGCGGGACAGAACTAAACGCACCCAACGAGGGTGTGCACTGTCCTCCCACTTTATCCTAGGCCTGAGCCCATTGTTATCAGTCCTTCTCCTTGAGGGCCTGCCTTCCTCTTTTTTCACAGCCCCTCCACTTGACCAAGCATGACCTCCTTCTCCAGGGACTGGTCTCTCCTGACAATCTGTCCAGAGTATGCAAGACAAAGTCTGACCATCCTCGCCTCTACGGAGCACTCCGGCTGTCCTTCTTCCCGTTTGCCCTTGTCGCGGTCCAGGACACTTGCGATAGTCTTGGCCAGCACTGTTATTCAAGTGCATTGCTTCTTCTTCGGTCTTCCTTATTCAGTGTCCAACTTTCACACGCATGTGGGACCATTTAAAACACCATGGCTTGGGTCAGGCCCCCCTTAGTCTTCAAAGTAACATCTTTGCTTTTCATTCATCTAGGGAGGGCTTGTGCAGCAGATTTACCCAATGCAGTGCATCTTTTGATCTCTTGCCTGCTGCTTCCATGAGCATTGATTGTGGATAAGGTGATGGAATTATCTGTTAGCCGCCCCAGCCTTCCCAGGGACATTCTGGAGCAGAACAGATCCACAACTTGCAAAGGTGCTAAACGCCCACGAATTCTTAGACTCAAAATCCAAAAAACTCCTGTAGAGATGATTTTCATCCTGTCTTCTGGACCTGCACCACACTGTGAAAGCAAACACAAAACATTCCTGCAGTCCATTGTGAATCATAGAGACAGTGCTTTAAGTATTGAGAAGTATTAAGAAGTCCGGGTGGAGTTATCCCTACTGTGAGGGACAGGCCGGGCTTTGTGCAATGCAGTGCTACCAATCTCCCTCTAGATTTACTGAACCCCTCACAGTAGGGTCAAATTGATAAGAATGCAGTTGGCATCAGTGTTTTTCTTTCTTTCCCCTCTAGGAAATTGAGAGAGCAAAGACAGATGCCGAGAATGATAAGGAGTGGCTGCTGTACATTCAGAAACTTCTCGAAGGACAGGTACTTTGCTTTTCGCGTTCACGGATTAAAACTTGCCAGAGAAGAGGTCCAAGCCTTCACAGGTTTACTGTGTGTAAGCACTTAACACATTGCTTACTTGCGGCTGTTAGGTACAGAAGCCATCCAACAAGCAGACAGCAAAGCTAGCCCTCGATTTGTACTTTCGGGCTTCACAAATGAAGCGAATGCCCTGGGAAGGAGTCAACACGGGACGGGGTTGAGCAAATGCATTAATTTCATTATCCAGTCAGCCAGCGAGGCTTGCGAGACGGAAGCAGGTCCGCTCTCTCAGCCCTCTTAGGAGAAGAGATTCTCGCCGTGTGTCTTTAAAGTCAGTAGTTGATACGGACACCTGAGGAGTTCATGGTTTCCGTGACCTTTGACGATGGGCCTGTTTCCAGTCAATTCATGTTTTCCTCACAGCCAGACAGCTGTTTATTACTGTGTCTTCCCGCATTCGCTACAATATTTTCTACTGAGACCCCGAGCAGCTTGTTAGTGGGAAGTAAATATTGATTTGGCATCCTGTCAATGCAGAAAGAATGAAAAAATTTCCACCAGAGGCCCCTCCAACATTTTCCTATCGACGTTTTCTGGGCCGAGTGGAAAGCCGCGTGGAGGATGACAAGGCCGGGCCGGGCCGAGCTCCCCACGGGGTCTGTGGAGACCTGCTGCTGTGACCTGCGTGGTACTTTCCCTTCCCTTCAAGTGTTTTTTTAATGCGCAGATCGTCTGCTGGGATGCGCTCCTATTGTAAGTGATCAAGAGCAGTTTATTGGCAGGTGAGAGCCCTGCTTTCTAGTCAGGGCCCGCTTTTGTTTCCACATCACTGACAGCACGCAAGGCAGTCCACAGCTCGGTCGTTACCCCGCTTTTCGGCTCGCCCTAATTGTTTACTTCTTGAAGTGAAGTGGAATTTTTAAAAGCGAACTATCTGTCAGCACAACAGCAAGGAAAGCATCACGGGCCCGCACCTTCTCCAGAGTGCCTGCGAACCACACATCCGCGGGCCCACTGGACACAGAAGCCGGCGCATGGCCGTCACTCGTCTCCATGTGCACTGACCGCGGAGGTCTCTCTGCGCGTCATGAAACCCAGTCATACTGCCCACGCCTCAGATGAAAAGACACTCATGCTCGCCCTGTCTGTGCGATCGCTTGTTGAAGCGCTCCCCAGGGAGAATCGCCTTGTGTGCTCAGCGCTGTTCAGGCCCAGGGCGGGGCACAGGAGCTGCCTTTCCCAGGGACGGCTGGCTTTCCAAGAAAGGCCATTTCTTCACCAGGCGAGGGCCCAGACCCCAGCCAGGGCCTGGCACACCCCAGGAGAGCTCACGCCTGATGGAGTTTGGAATTCTGTGCAGCTGGAGAATTCTTTTTTAGAATAATGACCTTTTAAGGGATGTTGCACTGCTCAACTTGTAAGTACGAACGACCTTGCCTGTTCAATTAAGCGTCGATTTCATCATTCACGACCAAAAAAGACCGTGAGTGCATCTGGGCACAGCTTCATGAAATGTACGAACGCTGCCCTGACACGGGACCCCTGACGATGGTGACACGGCGCAAGGCCCAGACCCAGCCCAACGTCATCCAAACAGATGCTTCTGCTTTCCAGCTCGGGCCAAAAAAACCCTGTTGCAAATGACATCAGACCGCTTAATGCTGCAGTTTGATGTAGTGCCTTTTTGTGCCACTGAGCCTGGCCTCTGGAATATAATTGCCTGGCAGTATTGATTTAATTGCTCAGGTTTATTTGTGGACTCCTAATTATTGACTGGAGGGAAATTTAGTGGAGCGCCTTTATGAACACGGGGAAGCTGCTGCTGCCGCCGCCAGGCTCCATAATGAACTGCGTCCCGGGCCTGCAGTTCATTTTTCAAGCTAATTTTATTCCACTGTGACAGTAGGATAACATTTAAAAAGTCAAAGACTTTTTTATTTTTATTACTGACAGGTGGTTTTGCTGATGTCTCTGAATTTTGTGAGAGGGGTAAAAAAATCGGGACTTCCTTGGTTGCACTTGAATGTCATTTTATAATCATGCCCAAGAGAAAAATCTATACAATGGAAAACCCTTTTTTTTTTTTTTTGGCCTCAGCCTAGATTTCTTCTTTTTCCATTCCAGCAATTATAGTTGTCCTGAATTTTAGAAAAGGTTTCCCTTGCCTCCTCGGTGTCTTGTTGTTACGGCTTCTGCTCCTTTTCTTCTTCTTCTCCCTCCAAGTCTGAGAGGTGCTCACAGGGTCATGTGGGCAGCAGTGGAACAACGTCCAGGCGGCATGCCTCTCTGCTCCTCGGAGCTGATTCCTGTGATCCTTACACGGTGAAGCTGGAAGACTCGAGCTCGTGCCCCCTCAGAATAACGATGAATGTAATGCTGGTGTTCATTGTTAAAGCTGTGGACGTTGTGGGCATGCTTTTCTTTGGTGCCCATCCTCAGAGTCGGGCGCTACTGATAATTGAGATGACAGAAGCGAATCTGCCCCTGAGGATTTGCCATTCTGTCAAGGTTTGGGCCACAGAATTGCTAAAGACTTGTCTCCACGCACAGTTTGCAGAAGTTGTGCAGTGATAAAATATTCATTGCAACACAGAATCCTGCTCGGCCATGCGGCAGTGTAGAGCCACCTAACGAGGGTACCCACCGCTGCACCTCACCAGAAGAGCATGGGGCCTCACAGCTCCACACGTGTAACCCATGGGCTTTCAACACAGATGGAAATATCCTTCCTTGCCTGGAGGCCCCACGCCATGGGAAACCTTGTGTTTGGATACCTGTCTGCACGCAGTCTTTGTCCCCCACAGTCTCTACTAGTCAGGGTGACACTCACTCACTCACTCATATCTTCCCAATGTCTGCTTTCATTGTTCTGTGGCACAGCTGCCCTTTCATGGCTTTGAACACTTTCACCTGTACGATTCCTTCTTTTCCCTTTAACAACTTCCTCTTAGCTTTTCATATTATATGGGAGAAACAAACTAGGAATTTAATGATTCTACTAAGAGAACCACCAACGACTTTTCCTGTAGTTTGGAGATACCAGGAGAGGGAAGCTAGACTGGGACCATGCTCCATCATCATTTAATCAGGCAAGGTGTGTGTTCTGGGATGCTGTGTATGTACTTGAGAGAGATACTCTGGGGTCATCTTATAGCAGGGAGACAAGAGAAGAGGTGCAATGAGAGCCAGTGGTACCCTGGGCATAGGAGTAAACTCGCTGCCATTCAGCCTACTTCACCTCAGAGCCCGGTGGCATTATGGGTTACCTGTTGAGCTACTACCTGCAAGATCAGCAGTTTGAACCCACCATCCACTCTGTCAGAGAAAAATGAGGCTTTCTGCTCCCATAAAGATTGATAGTCTCAGAAACCCGCAGAGCCAGCTCTGCCCTGTCCTATAGGGTCCCCCTGAGGCCGTAGGGATAGAGGGAAGGAATGGGCTATGGTCCATGGCTTGGTGACGAATCCTTAACAGAATAGGAGATAAAGGTGGTTAGAAAGCAGAAACCTGATATCAAAGAGTCCAAGAAGAAAGAAAATGTTTTGAAAATGATGGTGGCAGCAATTGTACAATCATGCTTGATCTATTTGAATTATGGCTTGTTATAATATCTGTAAGAGCTCCCGATAAAATGATTATGTCTTTAAAAAGCAGAAACCAAAGATGAGCGAGTTTCATACTCTACCTGAGAACACCTTGTCTGAAGAAGGCTATGGATGACAAGGGAAGCTCAGAATCCATCTGCAGCATCCACACGTAGATTCTGTTTCCGGTGGTGGATCCCTTCCAGCCAGAGTTGAGGGAGGTGACTTGGCTTGTTGTCAGACAGAGAACAATGTAGAGATGATGACAGTATATGTAGTTAGGTTAAAATGTAATAGTTTATCTACCCTTGGACCCATTTAAAGGTTGCTTCCGGTTTTTTAAAAACCCAGGGGACATTCACGTGTCACGCCGCCACTGAATCCCCTCTGAACTTAGACCACGGTGCGCATGAGCAGCCTTGCTGTCATGCAGAGGGCATTAGGGCAGATGCAGTTTGTTTTGAACTTAACACAGTATCATTTGATCTCCTTTTTTGACTCGTTTTCTTGTTCTAGTTTTTAAGTATTTTCTGCTTTCTTTTCAGTGGAGGTTTTTCTCTGTTTTGTTATTGTCGTCAGCTCTTTAGTGTGTTTTCTTTGGGAGATAACTGCAGGACGGTGTATCTCTAGAGACAGTAACTGGATGCATGGTTTCTTGGGAACATGGCAGAGGTTTGGGGGAAATGGGGAGCTAATCACGAGGAGTACAAGAAGAACGTGCTCTAAAATTGATTCTGGTAATGATTGTACAACTCTTCTTGATATGATTGAACTGCTGAATTGTATGATATGTGTGGATTATGTCACAATAAAATTGCTTTCAAGAGGAGTTTTTGAGTAGAGCAGTTGAAGTTGGTAGAAGATAAATAGCAATTGCAGCTATAGACAGTAAGTAGGTAGATTTCATTACCACTCAAAGATCCATGGTGTTTCATCGATTCTGTGTCCATCTGTTCTCAGTGCAGGAGCCCTGGTGGTATAGTGAGTTATGAGTGTGGCTGCTAAATGCAAGGTCAGCAGTTTGAACCCATCAGCTACTCCAAAGGAAAAAGATGAGGCTGTCTCCTCCCATGAGGACTTACAGCCTCAGAAACCTTAGGGCCCAGTTCTACTCTACCCTGGAAGGTAGCTGTGAATCAGAATGGTCAGAAAGGACTTGATGGAAGTTGGTTGGTATTCTCAGTGCAGGGATCTTGGTGGCACAGTGGTTTAAATAGTGGACTGCTAACTTCAAGATCAGTGGTTCAAACCCACCAGCTTCTCAATGGGAGAAGGATGAGGCTGTCTGCACCTGTGAAGATTTACAGTCTGAGAAACCCTGGGGAGCAGTTCTGTGCTGTCCGGTAGGGTTGCTGTGAGATGGAAATGCTCTACAGCAGTGAGTTTTATTCTCAGAACAATTTCACCATTTAAAAC